CTCATCACATTCAATTGCACTATAACGCTTTGTCAAACTAGTAGTCTTGGCACCCATGTTTTACCCAACAATTTGTAAAAAGGCCCTTTATTTATTTTTTTCAATTTTTTATGAATTATTTTATTTTATATAATTCTTACATCATTTTTCATTTTTGCACAATGTATGCATTTTCATTTAGGTTATATTCCCCATACTATTCCCATCCCCTTTTTCTGACCCTAATCCCTCTTCTCCTTCACCCGCTCCCCACTGTAGTGTGTCTCTGGTTTATAGTTGCTTGTTGTTTTTGATTTTTATTTTATGCAATTAGTCTTTTTCCTGGTCCCTTCTTCAGGATTTCTAAATTCCTGCTATGAGTGAGACCATCCGGTATTTTTCTTTTTCTTAGAAAGGCCCTTTAAACTCAGGTAGCTGTCTCTCCTTACCTCTTCCCATTTCAAGTTTGATCATTCCTCTATATTTTTGCTCATATCTGTAAAATTCTTCCATAGCCTCCAGATCATTTCATTTCCTCTAATTCCAAGAAAGGCCAAAGCACATTAAGTCTGCCAGCAACAAACATTAATCCTATCCCACCCATCCCCAACTTGCATCATTTCTGAATTTTTAAAACTCTGCATTCTATAGGCCACTAATTCATTTACTCTTCAATTTGACTCTATTTGACACAACTGCATTCAATCATCTATTGTGTGTGCTGTTACTGTTGGGTACTGAGGACAAATAAGTAAACACTGTCCTGACACAGCATGTTTGTAGTCTAGAGTGGTTGAGACAGAGAGACAATCTTCATAATGATAAGCATCAATATGAAGCACATAAAGATGCACATAAAGAATGAAGAATATCGGATGTGTGAGAGAGTGATGAGAGGAGGCTCCAAGGAGCCAGCCCTGGATCTGGGATTTGTAAAATATCTCTCTTCCTGTCTTATTGACTATTGGCCCTTCAAAAAACATAGTATCTTTACCAAATTTAAGTTTCATGTAAATCACAGAAGACTATATGTTGAATAAATAAGGAACAGTGACACTAATGAGGATTCATGAGGTTATTAAAACTTTATATAATTCCCATAGTTCCAACTTCAATCAACTATGACTGTATGATGCTATCATAATTCTGAAATAAAGCTTGATGGGATGTGTTTGGACAACTGAATGTGTACAGGTCTGAGAAGAGGGAATGATTTTCCAAGCATAAACTTTGGCAGGGAAGAAGACCAGGAAGCAGGAGATGTGTTTGGAACTGACAGACCGATTCCCAGTCTGGAGCAGAGGTTAAATGTGCTAGTGGTGGAAGATGAAACTGCAAAAATAGTTTGGAGCTTGTAAGGAAGTGCTTCGTAAGAAAGGTAGCCATGTCCATGATCAGGCACTCATGTCCATCAGACACTCATATCTGTGTATTGCAAAAGCTATTTTAGCTGCACTCATCCCTTTGACCTGCAGACCAGTCACATGAATAGGTTTTCATTCTTTCTGAGTGGTCCCTGAATCCAGCTTCCTCAGATGATTAGGATCATGAAGTTATATTGTCCAGGATTGTTTCAAGTTCTTCTTGCTGTATTCTTAGACTGTGTGCAGTTAAAAACGTACTCATGAAATTTGTATATTTCTGACTCTATTTGGTCTGGAATCCATCTCCATTGGTGGACAAGGATCAAGTATAAGAGAATCAATGGTGAAGTTGAATGAACCCTGAATCCCATTTTGAGGTGTCTGTACCTACTCAGTCCATCTGCCTGGTCATTACCCTAGTCTTCTTCTGCTTGTCCCACACTGGAAACCCCATTTGAGTAATTCCTCAGAGCTAAATCTGTTGGTTTAGTTTATGGATTACCATCCCAAACTCTACCCTCAATGTAGTGAGGCCGACTGCTTGATGAACCGGCAGCCTGTGTCCCGTTCTTATAAGCCACCCTAACGGGCTGGCCCAGCATGGTGGTGTTGGTGTTAAACGGTGTGTCTGATTTTCAACTCTCCATCTGTCTTTGGCATAAGTCAGTCTTCTTGGTCTGTGTGAAGTGATGAGACTCTTGGTATTTCCTTGCTAACTGTACATATTAAAATAGAATTAATATATGGGTGGGCCAATATGTTTCTATGTATTTTCCAAAAAAACCAAAAAAACATTCTACATTTCTCGTGGTGAGAATTTTAAATACCTGGCCATCAGGGAAGATGGTTTGGGGAAGGGTGAGGGAGGCCTCCCAAGGCATTTAAATCCTAACACAGCAGACCTGCCCTGACTCTTCTCCATGGTTCAGTACTCCTGGTGAGTTTGCATGTTTTCTCTGCCATGGGAAAAAACCTTGGCTTTCATAATAACTAACATCCTTGAACCTCAATGGTAATTTGTTCACATCTTAAGGCCAGAAGCCTTATTACTGCGTCTGCCACAATTACACAGGCAGGTGTCAGCCTTTCTGCTTGTTAGGATTTGATTTGCTCATCATCTTTATTGAAGGCTCATTGACTAGACAATACCCTTGCTTATGTTAAGGTAAGAATTCATAATACATAATAAGTAGAATAAATAAATGGCAATTGCTTTCTAGAATTCCCGGAAAGTTAACTGAGACTTGACTCTTTTCTCAACAGACCAATGTGAGGACCTGTAGTCCTCTCAACCATCATCTGGACATGGGAATAGTATCTCTAGTCAATATATCATTGTTATTGTTATACCCAAGATGTGGGTATAGTTAAAAGTTATCTAAACACTGCCCTCCACTTTTGAGAACAAAAAACTCTGGGTTATCCCATCCCTACTGCATAATTATAGAGACCCCCCCAAGGCCATATTGGCAAGTGTGCAACAATGTATTCCTTTCCAAATTCTTTCAAAAGTCCCATTGTCTAGATTATTCTCCTTTGAAGGGGAGAATGAGAAAAGTTAATGAATCTAGTTATTTGTTTTATGCTATTTATTCTCATCTGATAGGACTTTAAATCAGTTTGGAACTGATTTGAAACCAACACAGCCATTCTTCATCTCTCAAATCCAAAGGGCCAGGCAGGAGGGGCAGAGTTGTGAACTGTGCACATGGGTGAAGATGTCAGCACTTCAGGGACATCACACGCTTATTCCAAAGTTGCTGTCTTTCATAAAAGCTTATTTGAAGCTCCACCTTGGCAATGACTTTCGGAGTTGTCTGAGTAAATGGGCATTGATAGTTTATAGTCACAGCGTGTCACTAACCCAGGAAAGAGCCTACTCAGCTTGGTGGTTCATCCCACACACTAGTTCCAAATGATTGCTGCTCGTTCCAAAATAAACACACTCTCAGAAGATGAGTATTTGCCTTCATTGAGGATAACCAAGAAGAAAGTACCCCAGGCTGTGAGCACAAAACTGCAAAAGGGGGCTCTAAGAATAAGGGCTATATGGGAGGTATAGGCACGTGACTTCCAGCATCTTTCCTGCTAGGAGGCCTGAGAGGTTGCACACCAGATCTCATAGTTCCTGACTGTCTGGAATAGCACAGGCAGACCAAATGTGCCAATGGTCATAAGCTGCCATGAAGCACGCGATCATTGGATTGGTGGCTTTTAGGGTGACAGCCATGCAGAATGGGGCTCAGGTGTTTCTATGTCAAATGAACTTTGGTTCCCTTGTTCCCCAGCTTACGTATTGTCCTTTCCACTCAGTAGGTGTCCTTCCATTAGAATAGAAATCACCTTTGGTTCTTCCTAGAGAACAGGTTTGCTATTTTGTGGCATGTGCTAATCCTGGAGGGGAGGTTATGTGTGAATGGTTGAGTCCTATGAATCTCAGTCCACTTGTGCACAATTGCAGAGCAGGCCTGAGATGGTTGGAAGAAGTGGACACAGAGTGATGGGGAGCGAGAGCTTGGTGGAATCGGCAAGATCAGGGCTTGTGTGCTGGTTCTGCCATGCAGGAGCTCTGGGGGCTTGGCAAGCTCTCTGAGGCTTGCTGCTTAATCCACATACCCTGTATGATTATTTTTTTAAGATTTATTTATTTATGTATACAAGAGCTGGTGGGTAGGGCAGAGTTGTGGGGGGCAGGGGTGAGAGGATTGACCAGAGATAAAGTTGGGAGCAAAACAGCAGATCTACTGAAATACACTGCTGAGGGGAGCAGCGGGTGAGACAGGAGAGGTCTGCTGCACCATGTGGATCAGCTCCCTGCCTGGGCAATGAACTCGTGCTGCAGTAGCTACAGAGAGCTTCATAGTGCTGGTCTTCACCCCTTGCACCTCCAGGGAGGTCCCCATTACACCCTGCAGGGTTGGGTGAGGAGTGAGGAGATAGTGTGTGTGAGGTGCTTAGCTATGGGTATCTGATAGGCAGGAGCTGTCCCAGTACAGCATACCTACTGTGTGCCTCACGCAGAGTAGATTCTCTGAGATGAATGCTCTGTGAATACTGAATAAAAGCAGAATGGCATCTGGAAGTTTCTTGCAGCCTTCTGGGAGGATGGCAGAATTGCTGCCCCCTGGCCTGGGTGGCAAAGGATATTGGGCTGGATGACCTTGCAAGTCCTTTGGGACAACCGCTTCAGGGGCCCACAATACCCTCATTTCCAGATGCACTTTCTTGGGTGGCTTTCCTCACTGAGTTGAGTCCTCACTGAGAATGTGCTGGGGGGAGTTCAGACCCTTTAACGTTTAGAAGTGAGAGGCACAGAAGTGTCCCCAACCCTGGGGTACAGTTGTCACCCTAACACAACGCCCTGTGAATAAGCACTGCTGTTGGCAAGGTAATAGGTTGGTCACCATGAAGCCAAACCATGAAGATTTTACTTAGCCAACCGGCATGATTGGTGACGAGTCCTGACTTAGCAAGAAGCCAGAGTAAAAATTTTATGAGGTATAGGACTCATGGGAGGGAGCAAAATAACAAGTGGAAAAATTGGTAAAGAGGAGAAAAGGTGGTAATTTTTCCTGTGTGGTAATTTTTTCAGTTGTCACACCCACTGTGGCAGAATATAAAGGCCCGGGGAGGACCAGGGCTGGTATCAGAGTGAAGGAACCAGGTTTGGAATCTCACCTGCACAGCCTGCTCCCTGCTAGCACCATGTCTTACTCCTGCTTCCGTTCCAGCATGAGCTGCCGCTCCAGCTGCAGCTCTCGGCCCTGCGTGGCCCCCAGCTGCCACTCTACCTGCACCCTGCCCGGGGCCTGCAACATCCCCGCCTCCGTGGGCAGCAGCAGCTGGCTCTGCGAGGGCTCCTTCAACGGCAACGAGAAGGAGACCATGCAGTTCCTGAACGACCGCCTGGCCAGCTACCTGGAGAAGGTGCGCCAGCTGGAGCGGGAGAACGCCGAACTGGAGGGTCGCATCCAGGCACACTGCCAGCAGCAGGTGCCCTACGTGTGCCCCAACTACCAGTCCTACTTCCGCACCATCGAGGAGCTGCAGCAGAAGGTGAGGGCATGGGCGCCTTGTACGGCATGCTGGACTAGTTCTTTCAATTGAACATAGCATATCCAAATGGATGTAAGGCTGCTGAAAGCTAATTTTGAGATTGGTAAAGGCAGAGAAATCAGTGGCATGGATGCAACAGATATACTGGTATTGGAAAGATTTTTGGGAGGTCCCACGAAGGTAGAGTACAGGCTGGGCATAGTGTCAGGCCTTAGAACAACCAGTCATGGCAAGCTTACAAGGCTTCTTAACCAAAAACCAGAATAGTTGATTCTTCAGTTCTATTATGATATCCTGCTTCTGTTTTCAGAGCTTATAGGATTAAACAAAGATGCACCTATTTATTTCTTGCAGTTAGAACTTTCTTGAGTTAATCCTCAAATATTCAAAGCATTTCAACACTTTGCCATGAGACTGTGTGTACAGGAAAGCAAAAGAGCTGTTGATGCCAGAAGCCTCAATCACGGGCACGGACACAGGTGCACCCACTGAGAAGGTGGCTAGGCAGGTGTGACTTCAGAGCCAGACGTGCAGATACAGAAGTGGCTATAAGCAAAGAGCCAGCACGGCATAGGTCAGGGAGGGCTTCCCAGAAGAGGCAATATCTGATCAAGGTCAGAAGGAGGAGCAGGAGTTTACATCCAATTGCACAGGCCCTGGACTCTCTGAGGGAACGGACTGAGCACGGTCCTATGTTTCTGGCCAAATGAGTGCCAGCAGGGCCAAGGCATTTGAACATGATGCAGTCATTTGCCCACCTTTATCAAGTGCCAGACTCAGTGGAGACTCAGGAACGGGGGATGAGTACCAATGAAGTCTCATTCTCTGGAAGCTTACAGTGTAATGTGGAGAGAAATGTGGGAACAAATGCCCAGAAGGAAGGTGTTAAGCACTGGAACCGTGATGTGCAAAGCATGTTGGAACATGTGGAAGAAGCACAGGAGCCAGGAGGGGTCGGAAGGGGGTTATGCTAGGGGTCTTGTGGTGGATGAGGGCGTCCAGGGCATTCCAGGTGGCAAGAGCAGTGCAGTGCAAAAGCAGGCACAAGGGCACCAGGAGGGAGGGTGCAGAGGTCAGCAGGGCCGGAGTGAAGGTGGTGTGAGGTGGGGAAACCAGTGTGCCCTGGTTTGCCTGCAAAAATCTGGGTTTAGCACCGCAGGGGGCCCTAGTTCTCAGCAAACTGGGACCCTAGGTGAAACTTGCTGCCCAGGGTGCTCAGTCACTGCAGGAGGCCAGAGACAGACCAACGGAAGAACTCACGACAAAGGCCACATTCTCCCGGACTGGTCTAGCTTTGGAATGGCAGCCCTATAATGGAATCCGCATCTTGTCTCCATCCTGCGAATCTGAGAAGACTCAAGCTATTTGGAAGGGATGTGGCTGAAAGAAAATACCTTGTCATTTTAGGACACTGGACATCCTTAGCATGACTTACTTGTTTTCCTTCTACAGGTTTATATTTTTCATATTTATTTTAAAGCTTCTTTATTTGATTAACACTGCATTATAAATCATGTAAGTTTCAGGTATTCATCATTGAGAGTTAATATGTGTATGAACGACATTAATATATGCTAAAAGTCCTAGTCTCTCCTTCATTTAGCCCTAGTTTCCTGATTTACCCACCCCTTTTCCTCTCCCTCTGATCATGATTTGGTCTTTTTCAAAAGTATCACTCATCCCATGGTTCCTGTCCCTAGATCCTGTACAGCAAGTCTGAGAATGCCAGGCTGGTGGTGCAGATCGACAATGCCAAGCTGGCTGCCGATGACTTCAGGACCAAGTGAGAACCTAGAGCTGCCAGAGCAAGCCAGACATGCACAGGCCAATTGCAAAGTGATGGGCTCGGACCTGGGGTGGCCTTGGGAGGAAGCTTGCTTTGGGTTCCTCAGGGTAAAAGGCAGTGTCGCTGAATGTAAGAATTCTGTGTTTTCACTTGAGTTTGAAGGAGTATAAGAAGTCACCTGTTCTTAGCCTTTTTTAACTGACTGGACCAAGTCAAAAGTGAATTTCATACATGTGTCTTAGTCATATTAGCCCATCAGAAAAAGTCATTAAACCTCAAAAACAGAGGCAAAATCCATTTTGGGGAACCAACTCTTCTCGGTTTGGCTATGACACTCCAAATAATCCTTTTTGTTTTTATGAGCCTTCATAGTTTACAATGGGATATTCCTGGTGGTGTATCTTTGTCTTCAGGATGATGGGATAAAGCATTAGTTGGGTCCCCAATTTACGGATGAGGAAACCCAGGCTGAGGGACGTCAGGGAATTGCTCCGCAGTCCCAGTGGCTGAATCTGAGTGACGTCTGACTCGGTGCTCCGCGCCCAGCACTAGGGGCTTCAGGGAGAGTGGGCAGACGAGGCTTCTCAGACAGACAAGATGCTTAGTTGATGCTGACCTTGAATGGGCTCCTTTACAGCGCAGTTAATACTGGATTGAAAGTAAGCAGAGGGGCCCATCAAGGCCCTCCTGTGGTTGTCAGGGAATAAATACATTTTGTTTTTTACTGTTTCCCCTTTCAAAACACTAAAAATTTCAAAATATAATGAATTTGACTAGGTGAGTCAAGTCTAGTTCAGGAAAAACACTCTTCCTCTTTGACCTCTCTTGTTCTTTGTGTGAAGGTATCAGACGGAGCTGGGCCTGAGGCAGCTGGTGGAGTCGGACATCAACGGGCTGCGCAGGATCCTTGATGAGCTGACTCTGTGCAAGTCTGACCTGGAGGCCCAGGTGGAGTCCCTGAAGGAGGAGCTGCTGAGCCTCAAGCAGAACCACGAGCAGGTGAGTGAGTTCCAGTCCCCAGCCTGCGAGTATTGACAGTTCCATTTCTACCCCCAGCAGGATAAGGTAAGTGCTGCTAAGCACCCAAGAGACAATATGATATTTCTCTGGTTACCTAAAAGAGTATGGTCAGTGGATCTATTTCTACTTGGAGTCAGAGGTGTGCCCAAACGTCACACAAAGTTCTTTAAACTACTTTCTACCAGTGGGTGGGATCTATTATCTTCAGATCATACGCCAGAATAGTGACCAAGCTTGGACGGAGGCAGCCAACTTCTCTGTAATGTGTGTCACCTAGATAACATTACCCAAGCTGGCTGGCTGGCTGGCTGGCTGGGAAGGTGGGAAAATTGAAGGAACTCAAACAATAGTGATTTGGACCTCATGGCTGAATGTATAATAAGAAATTGGACTCAGTTCTCCAGCAGGGGACCTTTTGATGAACAGGAAACACCCCTCAGCACTGTGTGAGGGCAGATCACAGAAAAGAAATGGGAGGAGTTAAACTATGTCTCTCTGCATCTAAGTTGGAATAATTATAAGCCAGAACCATGCAGGATTTGTCAATAAACAGAGGGACAGTCAAAGAAACAATAGAATCCTGGAATAGCAAGACACACTAGCAAAGGTCTAATCCTCCAGGTTATACAGATGAAGAAAGAGACTCAGACAGGAAGTCTGACTCACAAGATGTTAACTTAGTTGGGCTTTACATGAACTGGGCCTTCAGCTCAAGTTTCTGAAACTCTGTAATGCAATTCTCATTCCACCACAGTGAACGCTCTCAGGAAGAGTTA